GCTTTACTAGAAGCAAACCAAAGCTTCTGCTGAAGATGCCAGTCAAACCGGAGCAGGCCAAACTGACTTGAAGTAGGACAAAGCGAATGCACTTAAGCTTCACTTTGGTTTAGGCCAAAATTCCAAAGACTTCAGCCCCTTCGACCGAAACGAATCTACTAACACTATTTTTTAGTAGTCCTGAATAAGTGCAATCTGAACAAAAATAATAATTAAATTTCTTTTGAGGAGGTGCCTAAGTCAAATGAAAGAAAAAGTAACTTAACTGATAAGAACGAGAAACATAGGAAAAAGTTTATATAAGGTTGTACCCTTAAAATGTAGAATTAAGGTGCCGCTCTAAAATCCATCATAAAATATTGTTTTGATGTTGGAAAACCCTCTAATTGATCATTTCGACATCAAGATGAATGAATATGAAAAGAAAAAAAGATTTCAAATCCTAAATATAGTATATTTTGCAACACATTATCTGGACCGTTCTATTTTTTATATTTTCACGTATTTATAGATCTACTTGATTTGAACCATTTTTTGAATTCAAAATTTTATAACTTGAAATAAAAATAGAATATCAAAACATAATAATCTTTAACACTAAAATTATGTTTATGATAAAATTTGGAGATATGCCTTAGTTAGGTTATTTAAAATTATGTTTATGATAAAAATTATGTTTATGATAAGATTTGGAGACATGCCTTAATTTGATTGTTTAAGGTTACAACCTTATACAAACAACACCCAACAAAATATTCCCTCGAATACTAATTGATATCATTTGACCTCTTTAAGGATCTTTTAAGAGGTTTCAAATTGAATGATATTTCCCCTAATTCATTTATTACATTTGTTTCCTTACTTTTTGTCTGCCTTATTTTATATATAAATGCCAGTATATAGTTAACAAGTCTCCAACTAAAATACGAGTTTTAAAAAAATCTTCAAGTTTTTACAATATGATAAAAACTCCAAGTTTTTCAAAATATCTTCAACTTTTATAGAACCGATATAAATGTGTTTTTATATCTTTTTAAAAAAAAACTCAAAAATTTATTTCATATAACTTTACTACTCTTCTTCATTGATTTGATGTCTTTGAAAATTATTGTTAAGATGTGCACATTAAAATCGGCACTAAATTAAGAATCTAGATATAATAAAAAATTTCATCAAAATTTTTATTAATATATTCTCTTAAATATTGCATTAAAATAAAATACACTACCAATGTATTCCTAGAAATATATATTCCCCCAAAACAATTGGATATCTCAAAATAATAGATAGAGTTAGAGGAAGAATAACCCAATGAAAAATATTCTTTTTCTCTAAATCAAAAGGACAAGGAAGAGAGAGAGAGAGATGTTAATTAAAATTAAAGATTTGGGGAATATGGAATTAGGGATGACATTCGAACATTTGGGATTGCGTTTGCTTTTATATATATATATATATATATATATATATAAGTAAACCTTTTGTTACTTGCTCTCTATATATAGAAATTTGATTAGTTTTCCTATTTTTTACTTTTGTTTATGTCATTGATGTATACAACAGAATAATTTAGCCTGATCACTTTTCACATTTAATGGGTTTTAGGTTTTTTTTAATTGTATTCCGATACTAAGGGTCCGTTTTTTCCTAACAACAATCCTACACCATAGATGACTACACCTTAGATCACAATTTTTTTTATGTGCTAAATAATTGTTGTCTTTAGTATTGTTGTTATTCTTTCCATATATGCTTCCAATAAAATCGAAATATGTTGTGTCATGATGGTGGAGGAATCATTGTTGTAGTAAAACAATTTAGACAAAACATTTGACAAGTAGGATGCTAAATGATTTCAAGTTAGGACATAGAGTTGTTGTTCAATAACTTCAACGTGTCTTTACAATAATTGTAAATCATAATTCTATCACGTGTTATATTTGAATATCCGATATTTTTACTCTATTTTTTAGGCCAACTTCAAAGTATTAATGATTATTTAACTTATATAATTCTTGGCTGCCGATATTTTTTCCTTGATATTTTGCCTCTGACTTTTTTTTTACCAAATTATTACCAATACTTTGGTTTACCGACATATTGTTATTTCTGGATTTGCTAACTATACTCTCACTTATTCTAATACTTTTACCTAGTGTTTTAGGACCCAACAATTTGAATCCCAAAATCACCAATTCTAATTAAAAATTGGCAAGGAATGAACATGTTCTACGAAGGAATTGAGCTCAAACTCGGTTCCCCCCTAAAAACCCTACTTTATTTTGTTTTCTTTTTCCTTTAAGTATACTAATGTTATTTTCGGTTTCCCTAAATACCCACCCCATAAATCTTATTTTAATTTTAATTTTAATTTTATTTTATATTTTTAATACCTTTCTAGACAACCAACTTAGACCAATCTTGAATGTTGATCCATTGATTTGACGTAGAAATATAAGATGATCAATCAACCCCACCAACTGATCCACGTTTTGAAACATTGCTTTCACCTCTAGTCATAATGCAGAGTATAAATTTTTGGGAAAATAATAAATACCCTCTCAATTTCAACTTTCTAGATATCCTCCTTCCAACATTTTTTTTCTCCTATCCTATACCCCAACGCAACTTTTTTTTGTATTTACTCCCAGTCAAATAGTTAACTTGATTGGAGGCAAAATTGTTATTTTCTCTTTATTCCCCTTTCCAAAGAAATACGTGCCTCACTTTCTCTCTCTTACTCTCTCTCTCCTTTGCTCTCTCTACCTCTCTCTCCACCCAATTTTCTCTCCTGTGCCCTAAGTTTTTTTTTCTCTCTTGATTTTTTTTCTCTCTCTCTCTTGAACTTTCTCACTCTTGTTGCCCCAAATCACACTGCCCTAAAGTCCCTCTCTCTCTCAAACTTTGTTGGGCAGAAATCTCTCCCTCTCTGTCAGGATTTTTCAATCTCGCAAGGTGAGTCTCTCTCCTAAACTTTCTCTTTATGGTGTTAAGTCTCTCTCTCTCGCGAACTCTCTCTGCTAAAAATCTCTCCCTCTTTGCCGAAAATATCTCCATCTCTACCAAAATCTTTCAATCCCTCCGGTTGGTGAGAGAAAAAGAGAATGGGCCAGAGAGAGGGCAGGTAGAGAGAGAAATAAAAAGGATGGGTAGAGAGAGAGGTAGAGAGAGTGAGAGAGAAAGAGCGAGGATAGGTGGAGAGAGAGGGGTAAATAGAAGTGAGAGAGAGAGAAAGAGTAAGAGAGAGAAAGTGAGAGCATGTGATTTTTTTTGAAGGGAGAGGCCACATGTTTTTTTTTAAAAAGAGAAGAGTGATAAAAGAAAAGTTTTGTACCAAACCTATATTTGATTATTTGAATGGGGGGGGTAAATATAAAAAAGGTGAGGTTGTGATTTAGGTTTCAAGAGAAAAAATGTTGAAAGAAGGATGCCTACGAAGTTGAAATTGGGGGCATTTATAATTTGGACCCGATTTTTATGCCGCCAAGTCTGCATATGTGAAAATGCGGACCTCTTAATAAATCTATTAATGAGATGGATTTTAAGACTTAATTTTTAAGTACATATAATATCTAACATGGAGATCATGAATATGAAAATATAGATAAATTTTAAAAACTAAAAGTAATAATTTTAATAAAAAAACATTTGAACTGTTAGTTTCTATTGATTTTATCAATGGTTTAAAAAACGGATCGGTGACCCGGATCAGGCTTCCAAAAAACTGATC